CAGTGTGCCCAGCCAGAGCACCTCTGGCTGCCAGCACTGTCTCCTACCAGCTGAGACCACAAAGTGGTGGCAGTGGTGGGCTGAGTGATCCCAGCCTGCACGTCCCTGTGTCGCCCCGGGAAGTGCTCACCCTGCCTGGGCAGTATCCAGATCGTCTCGTCGGTGAAGCCCTTCATCTTGGCAAACGTCTTGAACAGCTCTATGACTTTGGGTCTCACCCCCCGGGTTCTGCCTAAAGACCAAGACATGAGTTAGCTCCAGGCTGTGCCTGTCCCTGCATCTCCTGGGCATCTGGTGAGCACGAGGATGGGGTGGATGGCAGTCCCTGGAAGAAGGCTGGAGGTACTGGTAGAGGTCCTAGAGAGACACATGAGACACCTCCCCCAGGGGACAAGACAAGGCAGAGGTTTGTGTCCCTGCAGCATCTTGCAGCAGGACCCCCACTCTTCACAATGTTTCACCACACGACTTACCCAAGGCCATGGACTCCCAGCACAATGCAAGAGCCTGAGCCCCAGCCTCCCCTGCACCCCAAATCACTATCTCTTCCCTGCCACACGGGGGGCACACAGCAGTCCCAGCCCTGCTCCTGTGCCACAGCCAGGGCAGAAGTGAGGAGGGGTCTGTCCCCTGACTCCTGGCCTCTCAGGACCCTGGAGTCACCCTGACACCTCTGAGCGGTTCACGCCACTGGTTACGCACTGTAGAGTCTCAGCATGTGCAAGATCTTCCCCTCCTTCTCTCTGGTGGCAAAGATAATCAGATAGGTCCTGCCATCGGTATCCACCAGCTGTGCTGTCTTATTGCCTCTGTCTGCAAAAGGACATGGAGAAAAATTAATTACCTCCTCCTGGAAACCCCCACACTGCAAAGGGGCTATAAAAGCGTAAAGACCACCCAGTCTGTCTTTCCTCAGTGTCTCATTGTCCTGGTTTTCCCTTTTGCTAAGGCTCCTCTGAAAGCCTGGGGGAGCACACAGACCACAGCAGAGCAGGGGGACAGAGAGGTGAGGGCAGGAAGGGCCAAGTATGGTCACTGTGGGCTGCTGGCCAGTGTCAGACTGACCCCTGGGCTGGGGATGGTGGGAAACATCCCCTTGCTTCATCCTCTGGAAACATTCACCCACGGCCCCTTGGCAGAAAGAACCCGCTTTCCCTCAGGGTTTAAGCTGGGTGTGAATGTGTTTATCCCAAAGGGAGGGTTTGAGGGGTTCTGCCATCTGCTGTGTCACCAGCCCTGACACGGACTGGCCCTGGAGTGCAACTGGCATCTGGACACAGAGATGTCCTACCCAGGACCCAGGAGGGGCAGGCAGTCCTAAGGGCCATGTCACCAGGAACAACCAGCTGCTTCGGACAGGGATGATGGGATGTGCCTCCCCCCACCCCAAGAGCCAGGCTCCCCCCACTCACCAGAGCTGTAGTATTCACCCGGGATGTTTGTTGGCCTGTAGATCGACTCAACTTTCATACATCTCCCCGGGCTGCAAAACAGTGAAGGATGCTCCAGCATCCAGTGAAGTGACCCCTTTTCCCTCCCCTGCTCTGGGGTAGCTACCCCAGAAGTGGGACTTGCTGTTCAGGGATGGGATGGTGTGGAGGGGGGGCAGGAGGGGATAGATACCACCACCCTTGGTGCCTGGACTGGCAGGGGACAGTGCTGGTACCTGGGAATCATCCATGCCCTTGCTCATGCTCTGAGCTTCTGGCATAAGGCTGGTCCTGCCAGGAAGCTTTTAACCACAGGGTCCCTTATCCCCCTGCTGAGTCCCTCAGCAGTAGAGCACCCCACCATCTGAGGTGGTACTGGGTACTGGTCCTGGCTGGTGATGCCCTGAGCATGCCCTGAAGAAGGGATGCCCACAGCTGTCCTGAGCCCCTGGTGGTCCTGCCTCACCCCCTGCACAAGTCTTTGGTGGGCACACTCAGGTGGGCACCCACCAATGAAGGTCCAGAGAGGAGGTTGGTCAGTGAAACCTGTGAAGTAAAGCATGTGGGACTTACGTGGGAATTGCAAAGGAGACCTTCAGGTCCCCCTCCCCCAGGACCTTGATGTTGGCCATCGCCATCTTCAGCTGGTCCTTCCTTTGGAGGTAGCTCTCCGAGTCAGAGGCCATAGCAGTGATGTACCATTTCCCTGCAATCTGGTAGCAAGAGAGAGTTTGGAGCTTGTGAGACCGTGGGAGCAGTTGGGAGCATCCCCTCCTCAGGGACCAAGGCAGGACACCCTTGGTCCATGGGACACCCACATCCCCTCCAGGCAACAAAATCTCCTCAGGGACACCTGTGCTGGAGCTGGGTGACCACCCTCACCTGGGTGTGACAGCAAAGCAGTGGTGTCTGCAGTGTCCCCAGCTGTCCCCAGTACCAAAACACCTCTACAGTCATCCCCGACTGCTGGTGACCGGAGTCCACCCTCCCACTTCCTTCCCCGGGATGCTGCAGATCACCTTGCTCTTGTCCAGCTCCGCAGCCCCGAGGTTCTCAGCCTCCACATGCAGCAGGCAGAGCAGGGCCAGCCCCAGGCTCAGCCCCACGGTCTTCATGTCGCCTCAGCTCCTCTGGCTTCACCGGTGCGATGGGGAGTGGTGCCGGGGCTGCCGGGTTTATATCTTGGTGCTTCCCCGCCTCCCGGATCCGCGGGAGCACTGCTGGGATTGGCTTGGGCAACGGGCCGGGGGGGTTTGGAAGGGCCGGAGTCAGCCAGGGGTGAACAAACCCCTGGGGCAGAGGGGAAGTGCCTGCCAGCCCCAAAACAGGGTTACAGGAACTGTTGCACCACTGCTGAAATTTGGGATTTCCCCCATTTCTTTAGTGGATTGTGAAAGAACAAAGCGAGCTGTTGTTTCCCGACTGGCTGCCAGAGGGCAGCTGGAAGGAGCGGCAGGTTCTTCCCGGCACAGGACCCAGGGGCAGCCCCGGGACCCACCAAGGGGCTCGGTGACCCGTCCTCCTGGCCAGGCTGGAACCTGCCCCGAGGAGTGGCTGGGATTATCCCAAAGCCAACCACTCATACGCTGCTGGCCCAATCTGACACGTGGTGCCTGCACGAGCTTCCCCACCTGCTCTGCTGTGCTCAGGGCCTGCAAGGCAGGGTGCACCTGCAGCAGGGCAGGCGGAAGAAGGGGTTCATGTCACTGTGGTGTTATAGTCAAAAATGACAAAGGATAATTTTAAAAATTATAAAAGAGATTTATTGAAGGCAGGTAGACAAAACAGCGCGCTGGGCGACCGGAGGAAACCCTTTTCCTCACCGGTCTGCAACGTGACAGACCAACGGTCAACCTTTTATACCCCCCTCCTTTCTCCACCCCTCGAGTCTCTGTCGATTATTTTATTGGAGTTCATTTCGCGGGCTTTCCCAATATTGGTCCTTGCTTTCGCGGGCTCCATCTCGCCATCTGAGTTCAGCCAATGAACTGGTTAAACCGTAGTCCTCAGAGGCTGCCTCGTGGAAATTTCCAGATGGGGGGGGAGCGAGTCCTTTCTCCTTGGCTCCTGCCACCATCTCCATTTTCCTCTACTATGAATATGCCCAAAGTGGACACTCGTGGAACACAAGACATACAAATTCATGACAATTACACAATTAACCATACAATCATCACAATACTGTAACTTTCCCATTTGTAACTGCCCACTTCATAACAGAGAACGCCCAAGTGAGCACAGCCCTTGCCTGGCTCATTGTAACAAGCATAATTAAACTTTAACTCCCTGATTTGATGAGCATATTACACTCTTTGCTCAGTATTACCTATTACAGTGGGACTGTGTCCCTCCTTCTCAGTGTGATGTCCCCTCTGCCCCTGCTCTGTCAGGCTCCTGGGGTCACAGCCCCACACCTGCCTGGGCATTGAGGGACCCCCACCCTGAGGCAGGGAGGGGGTAGGGGAGACCAGGGGCTGCCTCCACTCTGCAGGAGGTGTAGTGGGATGAAAAGTGCCTGTGGGGCTCGTGGCAGCATGGTCCTACTTTGGTCAGTGGGTACATGGAAGGTGGCAGACAGGCCACAGTGGACAAGGAGGGTGGCAGACAGGCATGGGTGTTCCAGACCTGCTATGGGCAGCCATGGTGCAGCTCTACTCCCAGCTAGGTGGTCTGGGAGGTGACTGAGCAGGGAATGGGGTGTCCTGGATGCATCCCTTCAGGCAGTGCTGGACAGTCTGACTGCTTAACACTGCCTGCCCAGAGCTGCTGCCCCCAAGCCAAGCTGTGCCAGCCCCTCGTCACCCCAGCTCCATTCTCCCCTGCCCTGGCAGCTGCATCTTCCCCATCCTCTGCTCCCCATCCTACCCATGCTGGGCACAGCAAACATCACAGCAAAGGAGCCCCCCAGCAACAGAAAGGGTCAGCTCCAGGACCACTGGGCTCAGGGTGCCTGGGGACCCTGGCAGCACCCCTGCTCCCACCAACAAAACGCTGAGCTCTGGGACAGCTTCTGCATCTATTTATTTAGGAGGTTGAGGGGTGATCCTGGGCAGGGTCCGGCACAGTTCAGCTGGGAAGGATGGGAAGGGGACACCACAGAGTGGGGATCAGAGCCCGGTGTCCACCAGGTCTGGAGGACACGAGGGCCCTTTAGCTGCAGACAGGGCAGACAGATGAGTGGTCAGAACAAGGCAAAGCCGATGTGACACAGTCTCGAGACAGGTGGGAGGGCTCCCAGTGGGCTGTGAGTCCCTTCTCAGGCCTGCCCATGGTGGGAGTGAGTCACGGCTTCCCCTGGACACACTCACCTGGTGGCCTTGGTGCACTGGTCTGTTGGAAAGCAAAGACAGGAGTGAGTGTGCCATGGGCAGCACCCTGAGCCCCTGCACAGCGTCCCTGTACAGACGGGCCATATGTGCCCCCCCCCGTGCCCTCAGGGCACTCACCCGACTTGGGCAGGATGGCCAGCATGTCCTTGGTCAGGCCCATGGTGGGGATGAGCTCCGTGAACTTCTGCAGGAGCTGGGGGCTCACATCCTGCTCCCTTGCTGCAGCCAGACACACAAAGTGGGGGCTGGTGAGTGCAGGGGGTCCTGGCAGCCAACCCACCCCAGGGGTCCAGCTACCACAGGGCAGTGATTGGACCCAAGGGAAGGTGAAACCACGAAGGTGCAGGGTGGACATCAGGCAACCCACAGTGCCCTGGGCTGGAAGCAAAGGGGCTCAAGCCCCTTGGGATGAGTGGCCCATCTGCCTGGGGTGCTATGGGGTGGCTGACAGGGTTGGGGGTCCACAGCTGGGCTGGCACACTGCAAGGAGGTCTGGTTAAACCAACAGCCAACCAGAGATATCTTTGGTGAAAGGTTTCATTCACCCCAAAATTAATTCTCTGGGTGCTGGACATTGGGTACTGATGGTGGCCCTGGGTGGTAGTGGAGAGCCCAGCCCCCACTCCCCATCGGTGCCCCCATCCCTGCTGGGAGCTGTGGGTGCCCGTCCCCGCTCTGACACCCACTGAGGAGCTGCAGGGCAGTGCTGGGCTCCGTCTCGCTGTGATGGACCTCGTGCACGATGGCATAGTGGCTGTAGTCTGTCTCCATCACCAGCATGTCCCTCTTCTCTTGATCTGCTAAAGGACACCAGAGGTACCCAGTCGGGCAATGTGGTACAGTCTGAGCCCTCATGGGCCCCACTGGGGCTCACGGCTCACTGCTTGAGCCCCAAAATTGTCTGAGGGGAATATGAGGAGGGGCTCCCTGCGGGATGTGATGGAGCTGGGTGCCCACCCTCAGCATGACCCCTCGCTGAGCAGAGAAGGCAGAGTGGTCAAGCCCACCTCCCGCTGCTCCCCAGGCATGGGAGGCTGGGGATGCCCACCCTCTGTTTCAGTTCACCCATGGCTCCCCCCCACCTGACCACACGTACCCGTGTAGCGTCCCGCCTGCCTGCTCTGCTGGAAGAGCAGCTCAAACTTTTGGCATTGGTCCAACCTGGAAGAGGAACATGGAAATGGCCAACGTGGCTGGATGTCCCGGGGGAGGGCAGTGAGGCAGTGGGTGCAGGGGGGAGCCCAGCCTGCCTGGGGGACGTGCTGGGGTGCAGGCAGGACTGGGCACCCTGGGGTGGTGGGTCTGGGGGAGGTACTGTGCGGGGGGAGGAGAGTCCCTGGCCCACGGGGAACATGGCAAGCAGGACAGACACTCACAGGGGCCAGACCAGCTTCATGGCCAGGTCCCCCTCTGGTGTGAAGCTGATGGTGGTGATGGACGACTTCATCCCGTCCTTCATCTTTAGGAAGATGGAGCAGTTGGAAGCCGCGGCTGTGACATACCACATCCCTGCAAACTGCAGCAGGACATCACCAATGGGATTTGGGAAAGCTGTGGGGACCTGCTACCTGTCTCCCACCATGGGGAACCCCCTACCCAGTTGTAGGAATCTGCCAACCTGCAGTGGGGGACCTGCCACTCTCTGTGGCGACCAGCCAGCCAAACATGGCCACCTGCCACCTTCTGCATGCAGAAGACCCTGCCCTGCCCCATGCCAGGAGGGCAGGAGAGGCGTTTGGTCCACATTCACTGGGGAAGTGCCACATGCTCAGGGACATCACAGCCTCAGGTGCTGGTGTCCCTTCAGTGGGGCCACTGCTGGCGTCCCTTCAGTGGGGGGCTGGGGGTTTCCTTCAGCTGGTGCTGGACATAGCAGCCCTAACTAACCCATTTTTTCACAGACTCTCCTGGAAGCTACTCTGGTGTCAGGTCAGAGATGGGACCAGAGGGTGCCTGGGGGTGCAGCAAAGGCCCCCTGCCCCACCCAGCCCCTCTAGCCCGGGCGGGACATGCCTGGCAGCACCCATGCCATTACCTTGTCGGCGTCGAAGTCTGGCTGCACGGGGACCTCGGCCCCTGCCCGCAGCAGGCAGAGCAGGGCCAGCGCCAGGCCGGGCAGTGCCACCGTCATCCTCGCTCTGGGGTGGATGTGGAGAGGAGAGGCTGCACCCACCTTTATAGCCCCCACTGCTGGCAGCACCCCTGTCCGCCCTACCTTTATGCAACAGGTTACACAAGAGCAGGGATAACCTGTACCCGGGTTAGGTGACAGTGCTGGCCCTGTCCCCACCCGCTGCCCGGCCCGAATGAATGCAGCCTTGTGTGAGACCCTGCCCAGGGCATGCCAGGACTGGGTGCTGCCCCATGCCCTCTGCTTTGTCTGGGGAGGAGGGAGCTGAGTTACCCCCAGGGCCCCCCTTGCAGCTGTTCCTGCTGGTTCCAAGGCCTGGCAGTGATGGGACGGATCCCACCTCAGGATCCTCAGTGCCAGAAGATGGTTGTGCTGGTGGTTTTAGCCCAGGCTGAGCCACAGCCTGGTGCCCCCAGAAGGGGTGGTGACTTCCCAGGCTGGTGGCAGCAGATTCAGACCCCACTGCTGTAGAGGGTCCAGGCTCATGGAATGGAGCCCAGGGGAGGTGAGAGCTGAGCCACATCCAGCACTCACAGATGTCCCTCTGCTTCATGTCCATCCTTATCCAAATTTTTTGAGACCCCCCCTATGATTGCCTATCATCCCATTCCCACACTGCCAGCCTGCTCTCCAGCAGGGAACCAAGGCAGAGAAGCTAGGGGAGCCCAGGATGCCCAAAGGGGCAGAGGGGAGCAGATTCCCCCAGCAGGTCCCAGCCTCAGGGACCCTTTTTCCTGGGACAAGGCCCTTTTGGTGGTCAGGCAGCATCGTGGTGTAAGGCTGCTAGTGCACAGAGGGTCCCAGCCCGGCAGCCCCATGGCCAAGAGCTGGGGTCAGCCCTGACACTGAGCCCCAGCCCCACCAGCCATACTTCCCCCTCCCCATTGGGGTTCCCCACAACAACCCAGCAGACAAGGGTTGGGTTTATGTGGGCTTTAATCGGGACAGGGGTACAGGTGTGGGGTGTGAAGCCAGGGAGCGAAGGCTGCTGCAGTGCTGGGGAGTGCACTGGGGCTGGGATGGGACAGGGTGGTCACCAGCTCACGGCACTGTCAGGGCTCTGGCTGGCAGCAGCTGGGGTGATCACCTGGAAGAGATGGGGGGTGAGCACAGCTGAGCTGGGGGATACAGGGGGACACACGTGGGGACATTGGCCCAGCCAGCCCCACCCTGAGTGGGTGAGCACAGACCGCCCAGGGCCTGAGGCACCCCACAGGGCCAGGATGGGGAATCTCTCCTAGGGGGAAGGAGAGGAACCGCCTGGGGAAGGGCTGGCGAGGCGCTGTCGGCTCTGTGGGTTGCAGTGGCTCTGAACACCCCTGACCCTCCCGCAGGGCTGGTCTGACCCTTAGCAAAGGCAAGACTTACCTAGGCAGCATCTGCCATGCATTTGTCTGTGAGAGGAAGAAAAAGGAGAGATCATCCTCAGCCCCCCAGAAGGAACCATGTATGGGGGCACCCCATGGATGGTCCCACACTGAGGCAGGAACAAACCAGGAGTGTCTCCTCCCTCTTAGCCCCCTGGGGTATCTCACCCCCTGCTCCCCACCGCCCTCCCTGTGCCTCCAGCCTCACCTGTCTGGGGCAGGATGAGGATCTCATCGTCTGTCAGGCCCTGCTCCCTGGAGAACTGGGTGAACCTCTCCAGGCGCTCAGGACTCAGCTCCTTGGTCCGACCTGCAGCCAAGAGCAGGGTGAGGGGCAGCCCCACCAGCACGGGGGTACGGGCAGCCCAGCAAGGGGGTCCCAACCCAGCCATTATCCCAGAGGTCACCCCAGCCTGGGAGATGGTGCTGCCCCTCTCCCATGGGACAGATAGATGTTCCAGGAGGTCCTGGGGGGTGTACAGCATGGGGGCGCAGGGCAGACGTACTGTAGAGCAGCACCATGGTGGAGGGGCCTGTGCTCTTGGAGATCTGGGTGGCCACCAAGGCGTACTCCTCATAGTTGGTCTCCACCACACGGATGTCATGCTTGCTGCCCCAGCCTGTGGGGGACAGGGGAGCGCAGCTCAGCCCCAGGCTCCAAATCAGCCCCAAGGCAGAAGCAGGGACAGTGACAGCAGGGCTGCCCCATGGTCAGGGGGCACTCACGGGGGCTGGTGTAGCTGAACCGCCCTGGCTGCTCCATCTTGGTGTAAAGGCTGTTCCTCGTCACGCACTGGTCACCCCTGAGATCACACACAGTATGAGCACAGCACAACGATGTCAGAATGGTGGGGGGATGTACCAGTGCCCACCCCCAGCACCCCCTCCCACTCACCCCCTCCCCATGCCCATACTTGGGGTAGGTGGAGGTGACTTCCAGGTTTCCATCTGCAGTGGTGGAGATGATGGTGGTGCACATCTTCATTAGGTGCCTCTTCTCCTTGAACCAGTTAGAGTTGGAGGCCAGGCCAATGCTGTACCATCTCCCTGTGAGCTGCACACAACCTCCACTCAGTCCCAGATGGGTGCAGACCCTGTCTTGCCCCTCAGCCCCCCACCAGCCCCAGCCTCTCTCCCCCATGTCTCTCTCCCCTGGCAGACCATTCCCCATAGCAGGATGGTGTCCTTGGGTCCTCATCCCCAGGGAGCTGCTGCAGCTCTTGGCAACCACAAAACCCAGGGGCCAGGAAATCCCTGTTTCATGATGTGCCCTCCATTGCCCAGCACTTGGGTGTTTCCTCCCTCCTTGCTTCCACACTGGCAAAGGTGACAGGACCATCTGGCTCTGAGGTGCCATTTCTGTCCATCTGGGGGCTCGAGGAGGGGTCAGGACCCTGGGTCCAGCATGGCTCATCCTAGCCCAGTCCCTGGGGCCAGCAGCATGGTGCCCTCCAAAGGGAACTGCCAGCCTTGGAGAGGGGCTGTGCTGGAATCACCCTTGCAGGACATCTCAGATGTCCATCCTTGCAGGAAGTGCCTCCATCCCCATCACCTCCCTTGGGTGGCTGTGGCCCCCCAGGACCTTTCCAGAGACAGAAGGGTGAGTGGGACACCTCGGCAGAGCAGCCCTTGTTTTTTGGGGCTCTTGGCTGGGACCTCTGTCAGGGGTAGTTTCCATGGCCCATCTCCATGCTGTCTCTCAGACTGAGATTGCTTTTCTCAGTCTTCTCTGTAAGATCCCTGAATAATTACACCCATTCCACGGCACAGCAGCAGCTCAGACCCACACCTAACCCATAGTTCTGCCCCACAGACTGGAGCCAGGATGCTGGATCCCCTCCAGAGCCACCAAAAACAGGTGTTGGAAGGTCCTCAGGATGGGGGGTTGTGTGTGCACCAGTCCCATGCCCTCCCGGTGCCAGCCTGGCCCCACATCCATCTGCACCACCCTCTCCACACATTTTCAGGGCAAGAAACCCCCAAAACACCCCAAACCTCCACGCAGGTGATGCCTGCTGGGATGGGTCACCTTGTCCTGCTGGAAGTCGGCTTGGATGGGAATGCTGTCCTGGGCATGCAGTGCCCCGAGCAGGGCTAGCCCCAGGACGCTGAGCAGCGTGGCCTGCATGGTCGAGCCGAGCCGAGCCGAGCCGAGCCGAGCCAAGCGAGAGCTGGAGGCAGAGCTGCAGCGCTGCAGCGCCCGTCCAGTCCCTATTTATGGGCAGGCGGTGCGGGGCCCCCCGGGGGGCCAGCCCTGCCTCCCCCCGTGCCGTTATGCAAGCTGGAGCAGGGCTGAGCGCCGAAGCCAAAGGGCAGGCAGGGGATGCTGCGAATGCTGCCCTCCTGTTGATACGACGTGTTTGCTCCGGGAGCCAAATCGCTCCGCAATGAAAACAGCCCGCGGACGGAGCGACGGCCCTCCCTGCCCCCAGCGCCGCGGCCGGGGCCGGCAGCGGGGGCTGCCCCCGGGCAGGAGCCAGGGCTGCCCCATCTGCGCGGAGCAACCTCACCTGGACTCAGAAAGGGGCTCCAGTGAAGTGGAGGGAATGTCCGGTGCCTGCCAGGTCTCAATCCGACCCATGGGACTTGGGGACCTGTGTGTACTCCTGTAGGACCCCCTGCTTTGCCCTGATTCGAGCCCCTGCATCACCCCAGGAAGAATCTCGGCTGGCCCCCGGACCCTTGGGGAGTGTCCCACCAAGGTGCAGCTCCGGTTCATCCCACTGGCAAGCTGGGGAGCCCCGATGCTCAGCTCCCTGGGCACCAGAACGCAGCCAGATGGACCCCAGAATTTCACACCCCACCCCCCCGCCCCCACCCCGCATCCTGTGCCAAGAGGGGCTGGAGATGCCCTTCCCCTCGGTTTGGGGTCACCAGCAGGCGCTGAGATGCCCCCCCTTAATCTGGGGACCCCCCTGCAGAGTGAGGGCAGGGGATGCATGCTGGGTGCCAGCAGCAGCACCCGTGGGTCTGGCAGGGTTTGGGCAGGGCTGGCCGTGCCGGGCAGAACCCCAGGCCCGCGGCCCTGCCAAGGTGCTTTACGTAAGGAGAATGTTTTCACAACAGCTGTTTTTCCCCTGACAGGCCCCCCTGCACATTCTCTTCCCCACACCCCGCTGGGAGGCCGCCCTGCCCTGTGCACCCCCGCGCCTGCCTGGCCCCGCGGATTTATGAAAACAAAACAAAAGCTGAGCCAGGCAGGACTGAGCATCACGAGAGCCCAGCTGGGGCCCCACATGCTGGGCTAGGACTCGGCCTTCCCAGGGGACTCTCTCCATCGGGCACAGAGACAGGGAGCACTCAGGGGTGTCACTGTCACCCAGCACTGCAGCAGGAACACAAAGGCCCCCCTGCTGTCTGAGTACCCCAACTCCCTGCCCAGGTGGCAGGAGGGGGTGCCTGACGGGTACCTGGGCGGTGCCCACTCTCGCAGCTCTCCTGGGTGTGGCAAAGCTGGGAACCAGCCCAAAGACCTGGGTAGCAATGCTGGGTGCAGGCTCTGGAGCACGGGGGCACGTGGGGCCATGTGGGGGCAAAGGGGGCACTGACAGTGGCATGGTACAGAGTAAGCAGAGCTGGGGGGCAGGGTGGGGTATCCAGGCTGTGAGTGGACACAGACTTTTGCACACAACTTGGGCGTTTGCACCCAAGAAATGGTTTAGCCCACACCACAGATGGGCTGAGATGGGACAGTGGGCACGGGGCGTGTGTGGTCCTTGGGGACTGTGATAAACGGGCTATACTTTGAGGAGATTTTGCCTGCGGCCGGGCTGGGAGGGGGTTGTGTTAGACAGACATTCTAGCTTGGAGAGCTGGAGACTTCTCAGCAAAGACAAGCAGCTGCCGTTTGTTTCTGAGGCTGGGCAGACAATAAAGGGAGTCAGCCTGGCGCCTCGACAGCCCCCCCCCCCCAGAAACCTATAACAGGGACCAGCCCAGCTCCCCAGGGCTCTCCCCTTGCCTCCCATCGCCCTGTCACAGTGCAGCCACCCTGGGGTGCAGGTGGGCACAGGGCAGAAAGTGAGCTGGATCCACCACCCCAGGCTCTGCCAGCCTCAGGTGGTGGCCAGGGGGGTCTAAGAGCGGGGCTGGACACCACTAACCTCCACGTGAGTGGTGGGAACAGGGCTGGCTCTAGGCACATCACGTGGCGTCCCTTACATAATTCCTTGATAAACAACATGTGTTACCAGTTCCCGCTCCTATTGCAAAATGCCAGTGCTGGGGGCAGAGGGCTGCTGCCTGCCCCAGGGGCTGCAGAGGGCTGGGGGCCCCCCACCCGCCTGCTGGGGGGTGCTCCCCGTCCCCTCCCAATGCCAGTGGCAATGGACACTGCTCACCTGGCACATGTGGCCTCAGCCAGGCTCCACACACAGGGAAGAGAGGTCCATGAGGGGTTGCAGCATTAACCCTGGGGCTCTCCTCTAGTTGCACCCCTGGTACAAGCCCCCCCAGCACCCCCAGCCTGGCTCTCCAAGGGGTGCTGGCTGTGTGGGCAGGGGTTCCCCTCAGGGAATGTGCTCCCCAGGGCTGGGGCAGGGGAAGGGGGTGTTATATTCTGTGATGCTGTGATTCCAGGGCACTGGCAGCCCAGGATGGAGGCAGTGCTGGCCTGGCTGGGGCAGACCAAGAAGTGACTGGCCTGGACAAAAGCTCTACTCTGAGGTGTTTATTGGGGTGTTGCTGGCTCCTGCAGGACACTGGTGCAGAGAGCAAAGGGGTGACACAAGCTGAGAGGGTGCAGGACCAGGACAGACAGGGCTGCCAGCACAGCTGGAGGCACTGGAGAGCCCCAGAGCTGGCTCCAGGGCTGTGGTGCAGCAGATGGGGATGACCAAAGCGCAGCTCAGACCCGCATGGCCATGGGCAGCCGAATGAGGTGAGGGCTGAGGTCTGGGGAACCCCCGGCAACTCCATCTGCACCTACAGCTTTGTTTCTGGAAGGAAGAGAAGTGCTAAGGGGCTGGAGGGTGTCCAAGCCTAGCACCTGGCCTGGAGACCCACCTCTGCCTTCCCAAGCACCATTGACAAGTGATAGAGCTGTCTGCAGGGACCCAGCCCTCAGCCCAGGGTGTTGCTGTGCCAGGACACCCCATCCCAGACCACCTCAGGAAGCAGTATAGACCTATCAAGCCCAGTGTGAGCCATGTAGGGGTTGAATGGGGTTTGCTTTGCCAGGATGCACCTCATGCCCATCCTGGGTGATTCTTTGCCACCTCCTCACCCCACACAAGGGCACAGAGAGACCCTGTCCTGAGGGACGGTCTGGAGTGGCTACCCCTGCCAGGCCAGTGCCCCCATGCTCCTGGGGCAGGACCACATGGCTGTGGTGTGGTGTGGGTCTGGCCCAGTGTGCCCAGCCCCCAGCCAAGACAGGCACACCCCACTGGTGCCCAGTGTGGGGCTGAGCCTGGCACGTGGGGGTCCCAGAGCATCACCCAGGATCCCCAACTCACCATCAAGGACGTGAAACTCATCTGCGGAGTCGCAAAACCCTGCGAGAGACAGAGCCTGGGGAGTCACCCTCCCTGGGACCTGGCACCCCCCACCCTGCACCCCCAGGACACTGGGAGGCACAACCCTGGTCCTTGCATCTCTGCCCCTGGGGTGGCCACAGCATGAGGACAGACCCCACGTGTGGCCCTGCTGTGGGTGACACGGGGCCATGGGTTGCTCAGATCCCTAGGGATGTGCCTCCCCCTCCCCACACTGAAGGGGCTGGACCCCAGCCCCTGATGCTGGGCCCTGCCCCTGGCTGCAGCCACTGCCATGGGCTCCCCTGCTCCCCAGGGACCAGGTGCCACTCACCATAGGTGGGGAAGTAGTAGGTTACATCCTCACTGAGACCCACAGCCCTCACGTGCCGTTCAAACTTGTCCACGACGTCATCACTGACCTGGCTGGTCCGTCCTGCAGGGGGGAGACGCTGTCAGTGGCCCTGGGCCCTGCCTGGCCCTGTCCCAAAGCTCAGGGCCCTGGGGGTCCTTCAACTCACAGAGGTGGGTTCCTGGTTTCCCCCTTATCAGCTCCCCCCTCAGCCTTTGGGGACAATTGTCCAGCTGGGGAGTGACCCTCAGAAGACCCTATTCCCATGCTTGGGTCCTCTGAGGCTCTGGCTACCATCCCCTGAGCCCAGCACGGGTCTCCCACCCCTGTCCTTCACCTGCCATGAGCACCCAAGCCTCCACCCACCATAGAGCTTGACAGAGACGCTCCGGCCCTTCTGGTAATAGAGGATGGCAAAGCTGCTGGGGTCCATCTCACCCACCACCACATCCACCTTGCTGCTGTGCCCACGGCCTGGAAAGGACAGAGGAGAGCCCAGTGAGTCCTGGTTAACCCTGCCTAGCCCTAGCACCATGCAGGGCCTTGTTTCACCATGAACCAGGTGTACAAGGGGTGAAAATCAGGGCCAGAGTGGGGCAGCCCCACAAGCACCATTGCCCCCCCCCCAGAGGCACCAGCCCACGGCATCACCTGTGATGGCATCTGGCACTTAGAGACCCCAGAGGTAAGATACTGGGAGGGCACTGGGAAGAGGGACACTAGTACCTAAGCCCTGCCCAGAACAGCAGCTCCCCTGCCACCCCAGCCTGGTGTCCCTCACCCTTCAGCAGGAAGCGTCCAGGGGCCTGTGCAGGGAGGTAGCGCTGCCTGATTTCCCAGCACATCCCATGCCTGCACAGGGAGAGGAGGAAATGTCAGCACAGGCTGGGGAGGATCCCCCCCAGGTCCCTGAACGCCCTGAGTGCCCGGCCCACATGGTGTTTCCTTGGGACTTTGTTTTCCCCCCAGGGAAAGAGATGTCCCTGAGCGCTGTGGAGACATCATGAGAGATGCTTCCCCCAGGACACACCTGCTGAGCCTAAGGGGGTCCCTGACCCCTCCCTGCAGCACTGAGCCTGGTCAGACCCTCAGGGCCCATCAGGCCAGGGGGAAGTGCTCACAGATGGGAAGATCCCCATCTTTAGCTGTGCTGCCACTGGGGTGGCTCCAAGAGCCAGTCCCAGGCTGGCCTGTGGAGGCACCGCGTGCCTCGGTTTCACCAGTCTGCTTGTCCCCTACCCCGAGCCCACCCCGGGCCAGTGGCTGTGTGGGTGGCAGGGTGACCATTGTGGCCAGGGCTTCTACTACAGAACTTCACAGAGGGGATCCCACCCACACTTTGCTTTGGGGCAGCTCTGCCCTCCTTGGAGTCGGCAGTCAGGGCA